CAAGAGAATATGTCACAGGATTAATGCGTCTAAGGACTCGGAAAGGACCTATAAACATGAGGAGCAAGTTTCATGGAAGGCATTTTCAATTTGATATGGTGCATGGAAAGCCAGACCCTGTCCCCAACCTGATAGACAGGATTGGCACCACATCGCTTATTTGTCTGGACCTTAGTATGTCTGGAGGCTGATTGCAATGCTTCGTGCACCGAAGTCCACGTGTCATGGATAGAAGCCAAACGGACGTCTAAAACCAGAATGTTTGTGTCCGAGAAATCTGAAGGCAACAGAGTGGGGTGATGACCATTATTAACAAAAAAATTGACTTAACTTAGAGGACTCGTGGGTTGCGTTGTTTCTGGCAAATTCAGCCATGGAGAAAAGTTCTGACCAGTAAGTCTGATTGGCATCAATAAAGCAACGTAAATAAGACCCCAAGGCTTTCAGCTGCCCCATTGGTCTGAGGGTGATACGAAGAGGAAAACAAAAGTTCTTTGCACAACTGTTTGCAGAAAGCACGCCAAAAACTGGATACAAATTGGTTACCTCTGTCAGAGACTATGTTTTTTGGTAATCCATGTAGTCTAAAGATCTCACATAAGAATACATGGACAAGATCCTGGGATGATGGCAGTTTGAGAGGTATAAAATGTGAACTAGGGATAACCACACATGAGAAGGATTTTGGAATTGTTATAGACAACAAATTAGGCAGCAATATGCAATGTCAATCTGCAGTTGCTAAGGCCAGTAAGGTTTTGTCATGTATAAATAGAGGCATAAATTCTCGGGATGAAAATATAATTTTGCCTCTTTATAAATCGCTGGTAAGATCACACCTTGAATATGCTGTGCAATTTGGGGCACTTGTTCTATAGAACGATATCATGGCACTAGAAAAAGTCAAGAGACGAGCTACAAAATTAATAAAAGGAATGGAGCATTTTAGTTATGAAGAAAGGTTAAAAAAGGGGGCGTGGCCTGAAGTCCGACAGACATGGACGTGTAAGTCCCGAGCTCCCTGCCACCTAGCTACCATCAGCCACTTACCGACCGCCAGCCTGCCTAAATGGGGCGTACAAAAAGGCAAGAGCCCCAACATACCCCCAGGGCAGCTCCACCGGCACCGCCGTCAGGACCGATGGACGGGTTCCTGCAAACCCCGCTGGGACCGAGCCGCGAGGCACACGGCTCCAAGATGGCGCCCGTCTCCCCAGCCTCCTCCTGCTCGGAACCCGACCAGCCTACTCTGGCTGATATAGGAGCTGAGATCAGACGATTGGCAGCCAATATGGTCACCAAAGCCGACCTGCAGTCCCTCACAGCCACCCTCACGACCTCCCTCACGTCGGCAGTCTCAGCACTGCGAACAGATATGGAGGCACAAGATGGACGCATCCAAATGCTGGAAACACTGGCCCGAGAATCACAACGCCGTGCAACTGCTGCTGACACAGCCTTGACAAGGCAGGGCAACATGCTGCTGGCCCAGCGCAGACAAATAGAGGACCTAGATAACCGGAGCCGCCGCTCAAACATCCGGGTAAGAGGGGTTCCAGAGGGTGAGGGGCAGGAAAATGTAGAAGAGCTACTCACCGTGCTCTTCCTCCAAATCCTGGGACCTGACGCACCACCAAATATACGCTTTGAGCGTGCACATAGGGCACTGAGACCCAGAATCAGAGATGGGGACCCCAGAGACATTATATGCTGCTTACACTCATTCCCCCTTAAAGATCGCATAATGCAACGGGCTAGGGCTCGACCCACGTGGCGTTATCAAGAAACGGAAGTCTCCCTCTATAATGACCTCTCCCCTACCACGTTAGAGGCTAGACGCGCTCTCAGACCTATCACTACAGCACTAGGGGAACGCAATATCCCGTACAAATGGGGCTTCCCATTTAGCATCCAAGTGAGACACCAGAACGAATGGGTCGCTGCACGCTGGCCGGACGAAATACCACGCTTTCTCCAACGGCTGGACCTCCCGCCCATAGCAATCCCAGACTGGATCCTGGAACCACTGGACTGAGAACCCAGACCACAAAGACAGCCAAGGCACTCACGGAGAGGCCCAAGGGAAAACCGCATACACGAAGCACCTTCACACCCGTCTAACCCAGAAGAATAGCCAAGCACTGATGGCACCGGGCTCAACTCTCTGTGACACCTATGATCCGGTTACCTGAAAAGATGTCGATGCAACCGACGTCCCGCAGACAGAACTCATTGCCCACAACCCACTGACCCAAGGAGCCAACTCCGCACGCTACCTATGGTGTGCACACACCCAGCGACCCACACAATCTGGATGGGGACTAGGAGGGACATAACAGGCTCTTGACCACAGGAGATGGAACTGTTGGTACCAGTTCTACTAGGCCCCACCGGCCAAGCTATTCCCCACCTTATACCCACCTTTCCATAGCCTGTGGCACACGGGGATGGCACTACCACGAGACTCTCTTGGGAGGGGGGGAAGGCTTGTGATAGCCGTATAGGGAACCCAGGGAAGCTGAAGAATCACGAGCCGGATCCCTTGGCTGGACTTGCCACCGCACCTACAAGGAACCGACAAAAGAATATGATCCAGAACAGGATACCTGCACTGGCAGAGACACGACACTCTGGAGGACTCATACCAACAGGTTCAGGGGGGGATGATGAACGCTGGGCTGGCCGCATGTTGCGGGCCTACGTTGGGTGCAGACAGGGGGGAGGGACTTGTGGGACTGTATTGGGCTACATGGGGGGTAGTTTAGAGCCAGCGAGACACAGATTGTTGAAATCCTGGGCCAACAGTTCACACTGGTGGAGTGGGGGAGGATACGGGAGAATGGGAGGGTGGAATTTAGAATCCCTTAGCGTAGGACACCTGATGCAGATAGCCCATGAATACAGCAGATCTAGGTAGGAACCGCTATGCACGATATCACCCCGTCCCCTTCAGGCCTAGATATGGTCACACACAGGTACACTAACATGAGACGAGGGTGCTGCAAGAGGAAGATAGGAGCTAGGAGGTACACGAAGGGGATCCAATGCTGCAACTAATGTATATATGTTTTACTCTGTGGTTTGGGTGGGGAGGGAATGTACTGTGAGATATGATGCACATTTTGAATTGTTCACCACAACATTGACCGTGACAGCTACCCCATTGAAATTGAGGGTGATGACACCACTTACCCCCAGAGCAAGCCAAACGTCCCGCACATTACGTGACAGTCGTGACACACCAGGACACCGCCCTACCTCAGACTCAGGAATTTGCCCCGACGTGATATAGATCCTGACCCTGGCACAGACCATACAGCCTAAAAACACTCCACCACTCGATAGCACTACATCAACCTAGGATACAAACAGCGACAATACTGATAACTGCTGATGCCACCAGACTAGACCCATTACTCACACTAACGCTAACGACACTCAAATGCTCCCATACTGGTGGCACACCCACTGGGTAATCTCGGACTTATATACCTGTAACGACAAACAGTAGACACACCGTACGTGGTGGGAACGCGAGGACTAGACCACTAACCCCCGCCAAGTTCGCGTGAACAAATTCGAACCACGGAGAGTCGATAGTTGGAGGTCGTTAGATATTCTCTGACAGACCCTACTACTGACTGCTACCGTGGTCACGCGAACCAACCCTCACAGGAGGGATTTCTGACACCTACCTCTAGGTGCCGTACTGTCCCCCTCTGGGGACGGCTAACCTACCTCTACCTTCATACCCCCGCTTAGGGGACTCTCTACATCTTTTCTCAAACTCCACCCTACCTCATCCCTCCCCATACGACTCTGATCCAACCCCCCCCACCCCAACTTCTCCACTACCGTCACCCCCCCGCGCCACCTCCGTGCCCACGGCATTTCCTAAAAGAGACGGGGCAGCACCCGACACCAGGCACCGACTAGAAGAGTAAACTAAACGTTAAAGGACATGGCGAACCACCCCCACCAATCGCAAATGGCCTACGAACCTGACCCTCTACGCATCACAACCATGAACTGCAGGGGCCTAAATATCCCGGAGCGCAGATCGCACCTTCTCCGAGAGCTTACCTCTAAGCGCGTATCGATTGCTTTCCTACAGGAAACACACTTTAAGGAAGGACATGCTCCGCCGTTGAAGAGCAAACACTACCCCACTGCGGCTCTCAGCAACCACCCGACTGCACGTAAGGCAGGTGTAGCAGTTCTCACCCATGCTCAACTACAGTTCCAGGAAGTGGAGCGACTGGTTGACCCTAACGGCAGATACCTGTTCATTAAGGGAGACATACAAAACCGTAGGTACACCCTCGCGACGATATACGCACCAAACAACAACCAATCACACTTCATACGTAAATCTCTCTCCAACCTCTCCTCATTCACAGAGGGCACGTTAATCGTTGGAGGAGATCTTAATGTTCCCCTCATCCCTCTCATAGATTCATCCACGGGACACAGTAGCATCACCCAAGGAGCCATCCGAAGCATACAAAAAACGCTAAAGAACCTTAGGCTGGTGGATTGCTGGCGAGCGATGCACCCGGCAGACAGGGAATACACCCACTACTCGGTGATACATAAGCGATACGCAAGGATTGACTACATCTTCCTTCAACAGGAACATCTTGACGCTATCCAAACAGCAGAAATTGGAACAGCAAGCTGGTCGGATCATGGTCCTGTGACCCTGCAAATGGACTCCCCCAGGGTACGCCCAACCGCTAGGTCATGGCGACTCCAGGACTCATTACTCTTGGACCCATCAGTGAAGGAAACGGTTTCCGAGGAACTCACCTCCTATTTCGCACTGAATGAGACGGATGATCTCCCCGCGACCACGATATGGGAAGCGCACAAAAGTGTGCTCAGAGGGACACTGATGCGCCTAGCTTCTCAGAAGAAGAGGGAATCTCGGAAACATATGACGGACCTACTAACACGCATAACTACGCTTGAAATGCAACACAAACGTTCACACCTCGTTGGGACATATAAAGAATTATTGGAAGCCCGAAGATCTCTACATACACACATGACGAAACGACATTATAGCTCCATACAACGATCGAAGGCCTTCTTCTACCAACACGCCAACAAAGGAGGGCGACTGCTGGCCAGAATGCTTAGAGGCCCCCAAGGCATGACCCAGGTACATAAACTGCGGACATCAGACGGCACGATCACACAATTCCCAGATAAAATAGCATCCGAGTTTCGCACATTTTACGCCTCGTTATACAACATCCCGGGACCCACACTACCGGAGGAGGTAACACTCAGACGGGATAGAATAAGGAGTTATATCGAATCACACGTGAAGACGAGGTTGCAGCAAGGGGAACCGGAGTCGCTGGATATACCGATTACGGAGGCAGAAGTTGCAGGGGCACTCAAGACCGCCAAAACAGGACGGGCCCCAGGCCCTGATGGCTTTACCTTGGACTACTATAAAAAGTTCCGAACCCTACTGCTCCCGAGACTCACCAACGCATTCAACGCTTTGATAGATGGCGCCCGACTCGGACCCGAATCATTAGCGGCAACTATAACGGTTCTCCCGAAACCTGGGAAGGATCCCGAACTCTGCAGCAGCTATAGACCGATATCACTGCTAAATGTGGACGTGAAGCTCCTCACTAAAATACTATCCACCAGAATAGGGAAAATGCTTCCGAGATTGGTCCATCCAGACCAGACGGGGTTCATCCCAGGGAGAGAAGCTAGAGACAGCACTCTTAGAGTGCAAGCCATCCATCACCTGGCAAGGAAATCAACAGATAAGCTCCTTTTATTGTCAACGGATGCGGAAAAAGCATTTGACTGGGTTGACTGGACATTCCTTATAACCACGCTACGGGAAATGGGCTTCGGAGAGAACATGATGAAATGGATTGATGCGATCTACCATTGCCCCAATGGTAAGGTGAGAGTGAACGGAGCGCTTACCGATTCCTTCAAGATCCACAATGGGACAAGACAGGGATGCCCACTCTCCCCCATGCTCTTCGCCCTAGCTCTCGAACCGTTCCTGGAAGCGGTGCGCACATCGGATACAATCCAGGGCTTCAAAAGCGGGGACACAACACACAAAGTAGCAGCATACGCAGATGACCTCTTATTTTTTATCACGGAACCGGAGGCAACAATGCCCCACTTAGTCACTATGATCACGGACTACGGGGAGGTCTCAGGATTCAAACTGAACATGAATAAATGTGAAGTACTTAACATTACCACCCCAACGGCCCAAACATCCGCACTGAAGAACCAATTTCCGTTTAGATGGTGCGCAAACCACATGCGGTATCTAGGTATTGCAATAACCAGAGACCTGGGAGACATGTATCGTACAAACTTCCTACCACTACTACAACGAATCCAACAAGATTTGAAAACGTGGACATATCCACACATCTCCTGGTTAGGCCAGATCGCAATACTTAAGATGAATATTCTACCACGGCTGTTATATTTATACCAGACGATTCCGCAAGCTTTACCGACGGCATATTTCGCGTTGCTACGCTCCGCGATGGTGAAGTTCGTCTGGCATGGGAAACAGGCAAGACTACGACAGGAAGTCCTCTGCCTACCTCGAGCATGGGGGGGATTGGCACTCCCTGACCTCCGCAAATACCACCACGCGACAGTACTACAACGTGTCCTGGAATGGCATTCTCAACCGGAACATAAACAATGGATCGAATTGGACAAACAACATATAGGCCCCTCCTTTCTGACATCAGTGTGGGATACGAAGAAGATGCCGCAGACGAATTTGGAACCATCCTCTACCGTGGCGCAGACACTGAAAACGTGGGACTATATCAGAAAGGCTACTCACGTCTCTCCAACACCGAGCCCGATGATCCAGATACAATACACCCCAGATAGGGGAGGGCTACCACAGACAGCATGGTCCTTCCTGGGAGAGGGGGAATCACACCCCATACATAAGGTGTTAACTAACGCAGATATGATCCCCCTGAGGGACCTAATAGAAAGCGACCAACCCACTAGCCTACAGACCTTCCGTTATATACAACTCAGAACATATTACCGGACACTTCCAGACAAGGAAAAGTTACACAGGGACTTGACATGGTTCGAAACGCTCTGCGATCACAAAACTACTCTAGGTAAAGCGATATCCCTGCTATACCAACACGTACTTGTGGGGCACCTCACTAACAACGACCAATTCCGCAGACGCTGGGAACGCATGCTAAATACATCTTTTACCACATCCCAATGGGAAAAGATCCTCATATTACACCATAAATGCTCATCTAGCTCCCAATATCAAGAAACCAACTATAAACTTCTTTCATTCTGGTACAGAACGCCCGACAGTCTACACAGGATCTTCCCGAATGTACCTGACATATGCTGGAGATGCGGAGATGAACGTGGTTCGCCACTGCACATATGGTGGGAATGCTCACTCATTAAGCCATTCTGGGTCGAAGTCCTACAGAAAATAAGGGATATCACAGGGACGGAAGGAAACCTCAACGCAGAGGCAGTCCTCCTACACTCAACACCGGATCCCATAGGCACATACAGGAAAAACATTCGTAGACACCTAATCAACGCAGCCAAGGCACTAATTCCATTATACTGGAAACAAACGAATACCCAGAAGATAAGACAATGGTTGGAACGGGTGGAAGAAATATATAGAGCGGAATTAATACAGGCTACACTACGAGGACTAGAAGACAAGCATGTGGAGAGGTGGCGCCCGTGGCTATTCTACATAGCGGACCGAAACACAGATAGGAACGGCCATTTGCAACCCCAAGGAGCCCCAGGACCCCCCACAGACGGGGACTGATGCCTGGTCCGATACATACTACGCCGTGGTCACGGATGACAGGACCACCTTTCCCTTCATACTCCCCTATCCCCCCTCCCACACCCCCCGCCCAACCACCCCCCACCCAGCTCTCCCCTCCTCTTCCCCCTCTCCTTTTCTCTTACTTCTTACTCAATTAACACTCATCTTCTCTTTAAAACTCCCCAACAATGGCTTCATTATAAATTACATGATAAACGTAGCCCGCCTTAATCCGAGATTGCCCACAATTGTGTCACTCACTCACACTTGCACGTCAAAATGGACGCAAACACCTTCATCACGCAACTACACAACACGAATAAGACACGTCCCTGAACGACATCTGACCTATGACGACGGACCAATAGACCTTACTACCCCAAAGAGAATGAGGCTCAAGGGTGATAAGGAAATACTAGAGGATCACATAAAACAGACGCAAGGCACAAACTTATGAATATCCCTCTACTCAAGCCGCAATCCGATCACTCATATGTATGTCTTAACGTGTTAAACGTGACCAAATGCCATATAGAAATACTATGTAACATTGTTTGAGTGTTGTCTACACACTTAATGTTGGGACCTGCGAGTCCCTTATATGTTATTTACTTGTTCAATCAATTGATACCTGCTAATGTACAGGGATCAGGGCATACCCCTGAATAAATGCTTATGTTTGAATAAAGCCTTTTTGAAAAAAAATGGAAGAAAATAAGATTTTTTTATTTTTTATTTCTACATGACATTTTAATGGTCAGTGTCATAATACTGTTTGCTTTTACTGCAATATAATACACGTATTTGTATTCAGCAAAGTCTCACGTGTAAAACAGTACCCCTATGTACAGGTTTTATGGTGTTTTGGGAAGTTACAGGGTCAAATATAGCACGTTACATTTGAAATTTGCCAGATTGGTTACATTGCCTTTGAGACTGTATAGTAGCCCAGGAATGAAATTTACATCCATAATGGCATACCATTTGCAATAGTAGACAACCCAAGGTATTGCAAATGGGGTATGTCCAGTCTTTTTTAGTAGCCATTTGGTCACAAAAAAAGACTGGACATACCCCATTTTCAATACCTTGGGTTGTCTACTATTGCAAATGGTATGCCATCATAGGGGTCATTTTCATTCTTGGGCTACCATAGGATCTCAAAGGCAACGTAACCAATCTGGCGAATTTTAATGTGAAAAAAATGAAACGCAAGCCTTATAGTTGACGCTGTAAGTTTTGAAAACACCATAAAACCTGTACATGAGGGGTACTGTTGTACTCGGGAGACTTTGCTGAACACAAATATTTGTGTTATTGTAGCCGTCCGTGTAATGCCGTTTCGCGGAAAATGCAAAAACGCCACTTTTTACCGGCTTATATCATCGCTAAATACATTTTTACCGTTTTGAAACACAAATATTTGTGTTCAGCGAAGTCTCCCGAGTAGAACAGTAATAGGGTTAAATATAGTGCCAGCAAATTAAATTCCCTTTACTTTCGGCATGGGTTGTCAGGCAGGTCCTGCTAATTGTAATTAATTAAGATACCTAATTATGTAAAAATATTATGTAAAAATAATACATAAATATATATGTAGAATTAATATATGTATATATACGTATGTGTATATATATATATGTATATATCTATATAATTTAAAAAAAATTTTTTATTTATATATAGGTATATATATAGTGATATATACGTATATATTTATGTATATAGATATATATATTTAGTTCTACGTGTATTTTGATATATATATATATATATATATATATATATATTATATTAATTTCACAATACAGTTAGAATGAAATAACACACATCTATATATTTTTTAATTATTTATTTTTAATTATTTTTTTAATTTTATTTTTTAACGTATTTACATTTTAATTTTTTTTATGATATATATAAATATATATATAACAATAATTATATATATATTTAATCAGTATCAGTCTATGTGTAATTTGATATTAATATATATATAATTATATATATATTAATAGTAAAATACACCTAGACGGTGTACATGTGTGTATGTATATGTGTATATATATACTTAGATCATATATATATAATATATATATATATGATCTAAGTATATATAATTTTTTTTTTTACACTGATTAACTTATTTAAATTTTATTTTCAGCTAGCAGGGGGACCACCTGTAATTACAGGCAGCCCCCTGCTGGCAATGCAGAAGCCAGCTATCCCCGGCCATGTGATTGTGGGGTCCTCGCTAGGACCCCACTCTCACATGGCCGGGGGGCTTCCTGGAGGACGGACATGCCACGGGGGGCTCCCTGGGAGTCCCCCCCACCGCGATCGCCGGCGTGGGACCGCCGGTGACCGGGTAAGTACCGAAAGACCGGAGGGCGTACTATTACGCCGGCGGCATTTAGAGTAGTACGCCCTCCGGTCTAAAGGGGTTAAGGACAGAGCTTCAAAAGCTTGTCTTTCACTTAATGACAACGGCATTTTTTTCATTTTTTGCTGTTTGCGTTCAACTGCAATTTGCATTTTACTAATTTGTTGCACCAACACATATTATACATCGCTTTTTAAAGGACAGAAAGGGCTTTAATTTGATGTAACATTATAAATGGACAGAAAAGGACTTTATTGTAGTCAGGGTAAAAAAAGGCCATTAGGTGCCCTGTTTTAAAAGTTTCAATAATAATGTGTGCATAATTCCACCAAGTTGCCTGTATAAGTCACACACACAGGCACAGCAGACAGTCACACAAAGTTACAGAAAGTCAGCAGTTCACAACACGCTTGTCTTTCACTAGTAATGACATTAACGGCATGCTGGGGAGGTCTCCACCCCCTGCCGACGTCAGATCCGAGTGCGCATGCACGGCAAGAGCCACACGTGCATTCAAACCGCCCATAGGAAAGCATTACTCAGTGCTTTCCTATGGACGTCAGCGTCTTCTCACTGTGATTTTCACAGTGAGAATCACAGAAACGCCTCTAGCGGCTGTCAGTGAGACAGCCACTAGAGGCTGGATTAACCCATAGGTAAACATAGCAGTCTGAAACTGCTATGTTTTCAGCTGCAGCGTTAAACCTAGAGGGACCTGGCACCCAGACTACTTCATTGAGCTGAAGTGGTCTGGGTGCCTATAGTGGTCCTTTCAAGGCAGACAGTCACAGAGGCAAACACACAGTTAAAGGCAGACAGTCATGCACAGTTACAGGCACACAATCACAAACAGTCACACACACAGTTACAGGCAGACAGTCACACATACTCCATTACAAGCAGACAGTCATACACACTCCGTTACAGGCAGGCAGACACTCACGCACGCTGTTAGGCACACTCACACTCAGTTAAAGGCAGATAGTCACACATACAGGCACAAACAAAGGCACAGCTACAGCGACACAATTGGAGTCGCAGACAATCACATACAGGCAGACTGTCACACATACATATGCAGAACGTCACACACACACACACAGACAGACAGTCACACACACATACACACACAGGCAGTCTGTCACACACACACACACACAGGCAGGTAGTCACACAGGCAAGCAGTCACAGTCACACACACCTACCTCTTTCCATTATGACTGGAAGGGAGAGTGGATGCAGTTGGTTGTTGGGGAAGCAGGGACTCTTTCCTTCTTCCCTCTTCCTGTGCAGCAGTTACCAGGGGCTTCGGGTAGGTGTTAGCCCCGCCTCTGCCTCATGATAAGCTCCACCCTGCTGCTTGGTAAGCCCTGCCCCACTGCCTCGATATTTCTTTTCCATAGACCTGGGTGGAGAATAATGAAATCCTCCACCTGGGTACCTGTTTTAGCTCCCCCTGCTCTCCTGTCACCCAGCCATGTGAGAGCTGTGTCGGCCGCATGGTGCCCCCTGGTCCATGGCGCCCTGTGCAGCCGCACAGCTCGCACACCCCTAAGGCCGTCCCTGATTGTAGTGTAAAAACATGTTACTGTGAATATTATTGTTGTGGAGCTCTGTTATACACTCAGACACACCAACAATATGGAGCTCCTAGAAAAGAGGGACAGAGGGATTTGGATTCAAAATAGGGACTGTCCGTCCTAAATAAAGGCATGTGGGAGGTATGCAATTGACATCCCATGGAATCCTCCACAGAAAGATTGTTTGTTCCCTTAGCCATAACTCTACCTTTTGTCCAGCTTTGTCAAGTGTAGGAAATATACATTGTGGCGAAAATAACCTCGCCACTGGGTTTTGGAGGGGCCTGTTTGCCAGCCTTTTGCCCCAGGATTATGGCCCATGCGTTAAAACTTTGTTTCTCCCTGTAAAAAGGCTTGTTAAAAAGGTGACTTCCATGGAAAATGTGCCTTTTCCCCTCCCCTTTCAACTTTCCTATTGTTCTCCAGCAGGGCGTTGTCCCAGGGACACTGCCAGACCAGTTTAAACTGGCTGCTTTGTCCCTCCTCAATCTCTCATCAGCTCTTGCTAAATTTTAACCCCATGGCGATTTTATTCTGTTTGTGGGATCTGAATGTGGGGGTTCTGTTCAGTATAATAGGAATTAGGTATTTTTATGTATTTTTATTGTTGTTGTAAATGGAGATATTCCCTGTACTTCGCGATAATTAAGTTACCGCACCCACTTAAGCCAATTATCTCCAGGATAGAGGAGAAGATAGACCGGCTGTACAGCCTAAATCTGTGGAACTGCTTTGGGCATGAAAGCCATGCCTGCAGTCGGTCAAATAGGAGTTCCATCTATCTTTTGAACCACTGGGCCAATTTGTATGATTTTTACATATGTTTTTACACTGATTATGCTGGTTCAGAATATATGACTTTTGTGGAAATTGTATGTATAGTTTGGAAGTTATGAATATTGTATAAAACTGTATATTTTCCTGTCTGTGATAATGAAGTTAGCCCATTGTGTTCAGTAAATATTTCACAGGCAGAGGGGAGGGTTTGTGTGTAGTATTTGGATGTGTTTAAATGTACAAGTCTGTCCTGATTGGTTTTTACAACATTATGTCCTGTATTCCACAAGGTCCACGTGGGTGGTAACTTTGTGGGAAAACTTGTATATAAGTGCCAATAAACCCTCAGACTGCTGAGTTCCTGTTTTACCCTCAACATAGAGCCCCATGGCGATTTTATTCTGTTTGTGGGATCTGAGCGCTGTTCGGATATATTGAGGGCTCAGATCCAAGCTATCTGGGGATAGGTTGAATGTGGGGGTTCTGTTCAGTATAATAGGAATTAGGTATTTTTATGTATTTTTATTGTTGTTGTAAATGGAGATATTCCCTGTACTTCGCGATAATTAAGTTACCACACCCACTTAAGCCAATTATCTCCAGGATAGAGGAGAAGATAGACTGGCTGTACAGCCTAAATCTGTGGAACTGCTTTGGGCATGAAAGCCATGCCTGCAGTCGGTCAAATAAGAGTTCCATCTATCTTTTGAACCACTGGGCCAATTTGTATGATTTTTACATATATTTTTACACTGATTATGCTGGTTCAGAATATATGACTTTTGTGGAAATTGTATGTATAGTTTGGAAGTTATGAATATTGTATAAAACTGTATATTTTCCTGTCTGTGATAATTAAGTTAGCCCATTGTGTTCAGTAATTATATCACAGGCAGAGGGGAGGGTTTGTGTGTAGTATTTGGATGTGTTTAAATGTACAAGTCTGTCCTGATTGGTTTTTACAACATTATGTCCTGTATTCCACAAGGTCCACGTGGGTGGTAACCTTGTGGGAAAACGTGTATATAAGTGCCAATAAACCCTCAGACTGCTGAGTTCCTGTTTTACCCTCAACATAGACCCTCGTCTCATGTGTGGGGGAAAAGGCTGCATCTACGCTGGGATTGCTATATGCTGTATACTCCCCTGGCTATAATCACTAAGCTCTTTTAAGAACTTGTTCCTGCTTCGCTCTCTGAAGGAAGATGGGTTCGGTCTGCAGTGCTTATGGTGTTGAGTGGAGTGCTTGGAGCCCTCAGGAAGCACTAGGAGCATCCATCAACGGAGGTACCCAGTCGGGGTGCCAGGTGATCCGTTACATACATAAGACAATGTAGTCCCTAATTTGTCTTACGATATCTTTTGACTATATTGAAATCTCAGTGAGATTCCAACACAGATTTTATCACTATGAAATTCTCATCTTGTTTCGGGGGATGGGGGCACAGAAGCTTTAAATAGTCAGTTTTAGGTTGAACATGTGGCTTATTAGTTTGCTGTTGGGTAGTTTCAACAAGTAATATTTTACAGTAGAGTAAACCAACGCAACGCAGGGATTTATTTTAGAGGTCAGAATCCAACACACGAAAGACTTGCTCGTATGAGAACAACAGCTGCACCAGAAAACAGAATTTCCTGCCAAATGCTGTGTAAAACAGATAGGAAATTTCACTTAAATGCAAATCTGATTACAGGAAATGTTGATGAGATATCCATTTCAAGCAAGCCCCATTCCATCAGGAATTGTGTGACATAATGTACAACAAAAAAAAAAAAACCAGCAACAAGAATGCTTGAAGGTTGTTTTTACGGATGTAAAATAATCGTCTAGTATCAACAAGTAACAATACTACCACAAATTATATAACGCAGTGTCACAGATCTCTCTCAGTGCTATGAAGTCATAACGCAGTGTCACAGATCTCTCTCAGTGCTATGAAGTCATAACGCAGTGTCACAGATCTCTCTCAGTGCTATGAAGTCATAACGCAGTGTCACAGATCTCTCTCAGTGCTATGAAGTCATAACGCAGTGTCACAGATCTCTCTCAGTGCTATGAAGTCATAACGCAGTGTCACAGATCTCTCTCAGTGCTATGAAGTCATAACGCAGTGTCACAGATCTCTCTCAGTGCTATGAAGTCATAACGCAGTGTCACAGATCTCTCTCAGTGCTATGAAGTCATAACGCAGTGTCACAGATCTCTCTCAGTGCTATGAAGTCATAACCCAGTGTCACAGATCTCTCTTTGTGCTATGAAGTCATAACACAGTGTCACAGATCTCTCTCAGCACTATGAAGTCCTAACCCAGTGTCACAGATCTCTCTCTGTGTAATGAAGTCCTAACCCAGTGTCACAGATCTCTCTCTGTGCTATGAAGTCATAACGCAGTGTCACAGATCTCTCTCAGCGCTATGAAGTCATAACGCAGTGTCACAGATCTCTCTCAGTGCTATGAAGTCATAACCCAGTGTCACAGATCTCTCTTTGTGCTATGAATTCATAACACAGTGTCACAGATCTCTCTCAGCACTATGAAGTCCTAACCCAGTGTCACAGATCTCTCTCTGTGTAATGAAGTCCTAACCCAGTGTCACAGATCTCTCTCTGTGCTATGAAGTCATAACGCAGTGTCACAGATCTCTCTCAGCGCTATGAAGTCATAACGCAGTGTGTAACGGATCACCTGGCACCCCGACTGGGTACCTCCGTTGAAGGATGCTCCTAGCACTTCCTGAGGGCTCCAAGCACTCCAGCCGACACCATAACCACCGTAGACTCCTTCCGACAGCAAGAGAGGGACAAGCTCTTAAAAGTGCTTAGAGGTGATTATCCAAGAGAGCATGCAGAGCATAGCAATCCCTTGTAGTGATATAGCAATTCCCCCAATAAGAGACAGAATTCTAGATTGAGGGTGAAGAAGAACTCTGGTTTAATGACACACACTCTGCTTTTATGCAATTCTCCCATGCAAAGGAGACACCCACAGACAATTATACATTAGCCAATCAAACAATGGTTACAACCCACAGATTCCCTCCTGTAACGGCACCCTCAGCATAAAAGGGTTAAAAGCCGTTTAGTAGATCTTCCCCTTCCAGAGATGCAGGCACAGCTACTGCAGAACACCAAACTCCCGAACCGCATATAAGGGAATGCTCCAAACTCCCGAACTGCATACAAAATAGCACTCCAAACTCCCGAACTGGAACCTCACGAATAGCAGGAAAAGCACCCAAGCGGCTAACACTCCTAGCAATCAGTCTCTATCAGCATACAGTAAATCCCCCCAAGAACGAGACAGAGCTCCGTGTTGAGGGTCAAGCAGTGGTCTGTTTAATGAGGGCTACCTGCCCAGTATTTATGCAGGTCTGCCACCTGGTGGACACTCCCCTAGGGGACCAGATGGAAGACTGTGACAGAGACATTGTAGCAACCAATCACAGGGTACACACTTAGCCATTCCCCTTTTCTTACCCAGAACCCTCTGCTCTGCTCAGGAAGATAATTGTGAAGTAATTCAATTATCTCCCAGGACAGAGCCTAAACGCCATTTTAGATGAAAATAACAATAGACATAAAAATACATAACTGGTGCATTTTATAAAATTTTACAGGCATTCAACATGTCCCCAGATAGCTAGGATCTGAATAGCTCTCAGATCCTATGCACACAGTCCAATCGCCGTGGAGCCAAAGTGTTCACAAAGTCAGTTTTCATACGAATGAGCTCCACGGGATTCCTATCTGGGGTATGGTGTATTCAGGTACAAACTACCGAATATAGGGCCGTTCGTGCACTTCTACCGAACAATAAGGGAGGTCGGCGGCTTCAGCAGTGTTCGCGCCAAAATGTATCCGTTTTCAGTTCCATGAGTTGGGCATCGAATACCGCTGTGCGTTCGCGTGTTTAAAATGGCCGCGACCTTCTGTGGCTGGTAAAATATTTGAAAGGTTATTAAGGGATAATATTCAAGAATTCCTTGAGAAGAACATGGTTATCAGGAAAAATCTGCATGGTTTTATGAAGCACAGGTCATGTCAAACTAACTTGATTGCGTTCTACGAAGAAGTAAGTAGAAGTATAGATCAGGGTGTTGCCGTGGATGTGATCTATTTGGATTTTGCCAAGGCATTTGATACAGTTCCACACAATAGATTAGTGTTCAAACTCAAGGAAATCGGTCTAGATGAAAATGCTTGTTCTTGGGTAGAACATTGGCTTAAAAACAGAGTACAAAGAGTTGTCATTAATGGTAAATTTTCAAGCTGGACAGAGGTGGCAAGTGGTGTCCCTCAGGGGTCTGTTCTGGGACCCCTTCTATTTAACATGTTTATAAATGATCTTGAAGACCGCATTGAAAGTCATGTTTCAGTGTTTGCAGATGACACCAAACTTTGTAAAACAATACAATGTGAGCAAGATATTACCTTGCTGCAGAGGGATTTAGATAGACTGGGCACTCAAATGGCAGATGAAATTTAATGTTGAAAAATGCAAAGTTATGCACTTCGGCGTAAAGAATACACAAGCAACGTATACCCTTAATGGAAGCGAATTAGGGATAACAACACATGAAAAGGACTTGGGAATTGTTATACACAACAAACTATGCAACAATGTGCAATGTCAATCAGCAGTGGCCAAGGCCAGTAAGGTATTGTCATGCATGAAAAAGGGCATTCATTCTCGGGACAAGAATATAATTTTGCCTCTTTATAAATCACTGGTAAGACCACATATTGAATATGCTGTGCAATTTTGGGCACCTGTTCTAAAGAAGGATATTATGGCACTAGAAAAAGTGCAGAGGCGGGCTACAAAATTAATAAAAGGAATGGAACATATCAGCTATGAAGAAAGGTTAACAAATTTAAACCTATTTAGTTTAGAAAAACGTCGCCTGAGAGGGGATATGATAACATTATACAAATATATTGGGGCCAATACAAACCACTGTGTGGAAATCTATTCACAAACCGGACTTTACATAGGACACGAGGCCATGCGTTTAGACTGGAAGAAAGAAGATTTCGTCTAAGGCAAAGGAAAGGTTTTTTTACTGTAAGAACAATCAGGATGTGGAATTCTCTGCCTGAGAAGTGGTTTTATCAGAGTCCATACAGATGTTCAAACGGCTACTAGATGCATACTTGCAAGAACAGAATATTCAAGGATATAATCTTTCAATGTAGGGTAATAACTGCTTGATCCAAGGATAAATCTGACTGCCATTCTGGGGTCAAGAAGGAATTTTTTTCCTAGCTTGTTGCAAAATTGTGCTTCAAACTGGGTTTTTTTGTCTTCTTTTGGATCAACAGCAAAAAACAAATGTGAGGTAGGCTGAACTTGATGGACGCAAGTCTCTTTTCAGCTATGTAACTATGTAACTATGTAACCTTGTGTTCGGTATACGAATGGCGGCCACCCAGCAGTTACCCAGTGGTTAACCGCAGCTTCTGGGAGCTTCTAATTGCTGACACACTCCAGCTCCCAGGTGGTCCAGTCATTCGTGCGTTAGTTCGGTAGATTGAATCTACCGACCGCCGGGCAGAAAGGCACTAATAAGCCTTTTCTGCAGGGGAAAAGAAGTCTTTTAACATGGGGCCATAATCCAAAGGCAACAGGCGAGCAACCAGGCTTCTCCAATGCAATGTGGCGAGATTGATACTTACTGTATCTACTCAATTATCTCCAAGTTGAAAAATCATACTTTTTATACCGTAACAAATCCCTACAATGTGCCTGGGAACATCCACCATTTTCTTGCCTTTTCCCACTTTACCCTGCACATAAATACAAAGACTGTTCGTATATGACGTTACTGGCCCTTTAAGAACTAGCCAGGGACATATCAAGTAACAGAGACCACAGATTATATATATACACCTCTTATCCAGCAAAGGACATCAAGCTGTCTGAAAATTGTATGTTCTACCTGCTTTCGTGTAGATGTTCTCTAAAGACTTTCGGTAGATTAAAGCATTCGTTTAACTGTTTTCACAAAACTATATTGACACTGCATTCACCGTACGAAGGAAAACTACCGAACACCGGACCACCCTGATACTTAATTGTGCT